GCTTCCTGGATGTGTGCTTCATATAGTTTTGTGTTGTCATGTGGCTCATAAATAAATAATTGTTTTTTTCCACTGATCTGGAGGAAACAAATATTCATGTCAGACAGTCACATGGCATGTGGATCTATAAGTACAAGTAGACTTTGAATACAGTGCTGAGTTTAACCGATTTAACTTTGAGGAAACTTTAAAATCATTCTATTCTTCCAGCCTAAAATAATATGTATATAAAATATAATTATTATATCTATATTATACATTCTTACAGGAAAATCATTTGTAATGCATGCCTCCCAGCCCCCACCCATGCAAGGAAACAAAAGTACCGTGATGATGTAGCACTAAAACTTGCCAACACAGACAGGTTTAATAATAATTCTTCCTGCTTGTTGTTTTTCCTTTTGTCAAATAATACTATCTGTTGTTTCATGGCGGCATTAGAAACAACATGCAGGAATCAATCCGTGTCAGCTGGCTAGCACTTAAGAGCAATCTGCATAACGTCTGTGAGAGAAGAATTAAGGCATTTCACAAATAAGGATGTCTGATTATTCAACTTTTAATCTACGTACGTAAACAAATTCCCCAACTTCAGACTACAAGAAATATATGGTTAGAAGTAACAGAGCTCAATGTTGCAACTGCTGGGTTCACCAATGCAACCAATTTTTGTTCACTGGTGACTAACTTTTCACGCTTTTCACTGAAATACTTTTGCCATCAACTAAGTCTGAAACCTTAGGGGCCAGCTGGCCCCAAGGTTTTTTCCTGAAAGTAGAGCCCTGAGTAAGGAGAACTTGTATTTTGACTAACCTGACATAGAAAGTTGTCAAAGGGATCAAAATGCAGCTTGCCCAATGTATTTCCATTGCTAAGCCAAATATTAAGATGTCGTCGTTTTAATTCCCCAGAAAGAAAAGGCATCTCTTTGATGTCCTGCTCAAGTTCTGGTAGTAAACTAGGTATAGAAGAGTATTCTAGATAAGCAGAAATGTTACTGTCATTGGATGACTGCAAAATGCTCATAAATGTAGAGAAAGGAATTTCCAGAAATGCAGGACGAACCACCACTAAATCTGGAAATGGTAACTGCGATTTGACCACATCAGGAAACTTGAAATCTTTAAAGTCTTCAAAGTCATGAGCCTTTTCGCATCCCTCATATTCACCATAAGGGGCGAATGCTACTCGTACCATCTTGTCACCAAACTTTGTTGTTAGAAATTCTGTCGTCCACTTTTTCATCGCAGGCCAGTTTTTTAATGCACCTAGATGATAAATACAAAAACAAAGAGGCAAAACATGACCCTGAGGTTCAACACCAAAGTTCTTCTGACAGCTTTCATACAATGATTTGAGTCTTTTGGGAGGAATCTGGGCTTTGATCAACAGGCTTAATTAAAAGGGATGGTCAGGTCTTTAATTATTCTACTCAATCATCTGTTATTTTGTTACAACAAGACAGTAAGATGACTAGATGGATCTTGCAGAGAATGTGGTAAAAGGAAACACTCGCCAACCCATTTGGAAATTTTAGTGTAATTTCATACTCTACTTTAACGATTTCAGGCTAGCAAATGCAATCTCTAGACAAGTTCATTGGGTTTTCATGAAAATTCACATGTTTGGAATTGTTTTAACTGACAACAAGAGGCATGCTGATAAGGGGGGGGGGG